ATTTTGTGTCTGATATTTAGGTTAGAAAAGGTAAATCGTCTGGTAATTTACTTCCCGCAAAAGCACTGCCACAATAGGAGTGTTCTGAGGTCATGGCCTGTATGACTCTTCAGACCTCCTATTCACAGATGAAGAGGAACAGATGAAGAGGAACAGAAGAAGAACAGATGAAGAGGAACAGATGAAGAGGAACAGATTGGGCGATTCCTCCACCCATTTTTTGTAAGTTTATCATAGATCTTGATGCTTTGAAATTATAGTACCATGATATTATTAGCTTTGTGAATTTTCAGAAATGTATATTCAGTGGATTCAGTATTCCATGGCTCAATAACCATGCCCAATAAACCAGAAATAAATAGAATATGTCCTCAGATACAAAATTATATGGTATTTTGACTCAATACAATGTTTGTCTTTTGTTTTTTTTTCAGCCGTTGGCGGGAACTCGATAGCGGTCTTTACTATTGGGTTTGACATACACCACTTACAGTTAGATGATCATCGTAGCACGGTCAGTACCTACCTACATATTTCAATTTAAATCACAATTTCTGTTCTGTGAAATTTTGTGAAAACCAGCCTGAAAAATTCTTCTTCATTTTCTCTATCCCTTGAAGGTGTACTGGAGCATTAATCTTGAAAACTGAACTTACGATGATTTTGGTGTTCCAGTCATCTGATTGATCTCTTAAAATCCATTTTAAGAACAAGCCCCCTGCTGTGGAATGAAAAAGCAAAAACTACGATGGGATCTTTCTCTCTGAAATGGGTGCATATTTGGTAATTCCATGGCAGAGGGGTGTTACAAGAGGCATGACTTGCCTGGCTAATGACAGATACCACACAGAAAAAAGTTTTAATTCAAAAGGTCATTTAGTCTCGGACGCAAGAGTTTAAAACTAATCAATTCAAGAGTGACCTTTGAAACTTGATTGTCCATGAGCAGAGATATTGGCCAAATGATGTTATTCACATTTGATATACATAATTAAAGAGGTAGTTTTCAAGATTTTCATTACCAGGTTACTTTTAGATAGCTTTAATGTTATAGAATTAACAGAAAGATTTTTTTGCTTAAAACTTCCAGATAAGGCAATAGATATATTACTCTAATCTGTGATCTAAAGTATTTATTACTGTTTGCACATAACTTTCCAAACCTACTTTTAAAAAAAGAATCATTACTTTTAGGGTTCCAAGAACAAAGGGGCTGATCTTTAGCTTCAACAGGACATTACATTTGGAGGTCAATACGGTTATGGTGGAGCACAAATGTCCTAAAGGCGACTCTTGGAACGAAGCCAGGTAGGGATATTTTAACAGCTATCTTGGATATGATGTAGCTATCCAAGTCATTATAAACACACTGTAAATATTACATTTAGCAACATAAGATTATTTTTTGGAAAACCTTACAACACAAACCCAAGTTTTTATATGTGTCCTTACATTCACCTTTGTATATTATCATAAGATTCTACTAACTGGTCTTTGGTCAGATCTATTGAAATTGATCTCATGACCACCATTGTTTGGACAAACTAAACAAATCTCCTGTAAAGTTTCCGAAGCTCTAATACGCTTGTTACTGAGTAACGGACTGTTCCATAGAATCCATCAACTGTTTGGATTTATGTATTTGTTGAATTATTTCATTTGTGCCATATCAAAGAATTAAGTTGTATGTTTTAAATTTTAGGTGTAAACAGATAGAGTTTCATTATACAGAAGTCAAGTGCTTATGGTGTGGCACAGAAGCTCGCAAGGCAAGTTTGATTTAGAAGTATTTAATCTGTAATTTTCAACCATTTTGATATTCTTAATTTGAAATATCTTGAAACACTCTGATACAGTTTTGTGAATGTTGATATTTTTGTTCAAAAATAAACAAATACATGGTATTTATATGAGTAATCAGCCAATCGAGACCCTATAGAATGATGACGCCAAATTGTGATCTCTGATTTAAGGGTATTTCATAACCTCTCACACATTGTTTTTGTTTTTAAAAAATTACTTAAAATGGTAGTCATCTAATTATTTTTCAGGTTAGAAAGGGTAAATCGTCTGGTAATTTACCTACCCGCAATAGCACTGCCACAATAGGAGTGTTCTGAGGTCATGGCCTGTATGACTTTTCAGACCTCCTATTCACAGATGAAGAGGAACAGAAGAATAACAGATGAAGCGGCGCCTACAGAACAGATGAAGAACAGAAAGAAGTATGAAGAACAAGTGAAGAATGCTGATGAAAAGATCAACAGATGAAAAGAGGGACCTCCAAAGAGTGCTCAATAAGAAGAACCAAGTCTACAGATGAAAAGCCATGGGTATGTTACAAGGGATATAGTGAACATTGTCATCTTAATTTTTGAAATGAAAACATAATACTTGAACGACATTTGGAAATGAGGCGTACATATAACAGAAACAAGGCAATATTATGGATTTAACATAACATATGGATTTTAATAAACTAATTAAACAGATAACGTTTCAAACAATGTGTTGTCATCAGAATAAGAAACCTAACCAAACATATTACAACTAAGAATGATAAAAAGATTAACAGTGTAAAGATAATAAAAGTAATAATGAGAAGTCTAAATAAGAGAACATAAGCTTATTATCCAAAGTGAGTTTAGGAAATAAATGAGTTAAAACAATAGGGAAGACTTAAATGGTTACCATTTATACATTTTGTTATGTTTTTTTCCATCATTATTTCATCTGATGATGGCACATGTAAATTGTGCTGAAAAGTTGATTGTCATGTATTTAATTAGTTTATCTAAGTAGTGTGCTTATTTCATAATATTGCCTTGTGTTTTGTACAAATCTGACTTTGTTCTTCTTAATTACTGAATTATAATTATGGTTATATGATTGACTGGCATTTTCCAAAATGAAAATCTTGCATTTAGTTCTTCTACCATTCAAGGCTGTGCCCGCATATGCATATCAGTAATGACATAGTTTCAAAGGAATACTACCTTTTAGAATGAACATTAAATTTACATTCTCAAATTTGGCCTATAATGTATGTATTCATCAGTGGGGTGAAAGTTTAGGTCTTGAAAATAGATGCAACCCGGTTTTTCTAACTCGGTGCTTCTTTGTGAGTCTCCCCAAAGTGCAAAGCGGGTTCCAAGCTTGGAAATTCCCAAAAAAGTGCCAAGAAATACTGGCTTTTGTTCAGATGTTGACGGCTTTTGTTCAGATGTTGACGCTTCAAAGTTGGAATCTAAAAAAGTGAAATTAGCAAGAAGCCATAGGAAAATCTATGAATGTTGCTCAATAATTACATAGACTAATAATTACCAATGCATTTATCTGCAGTTTAAAAACAAGTTGCGTTAAAATAAGTAGTTGCGTTGACTAGATGAATATTTGAGCTATGGCTTATTTACATAATTCTTTTTTTATTTCAGCTGAAGAGCTCACAAGAAGATGGTGTTTCTGCATTTGGTTTTTCTGCATTGATTAGGTGTTTCTGCATTGATTAGGTGTTTCTGCATTGATTTGGTGTTTCTGCATTGATTTGGTGTTTCTGCATTATTAGTTCTGCTTCCAGAGACTGATTTTTACTGGTGACTTTAGAATTGACTTTCTCCTTGCGCTAGAATAAGTCATCTTTCCTCAGTATTCTATTCGACTCAACTGTAAATGGGTATGGATAATCTGAGTAAAATCATTGCCAAGAAATTCGGTCAAGGAACAGCTGTTAGACAGGATCTTGTGAACCTAAGCTGTCCTTGTAAAAAATCTTTCTTTCTATCTATCAGTAGGCTGACTAACCTTTCTGCAACCGAGTTCTCGGCCATGTTTATCAAAAAAATCTCACAATCAATATTTGTCTAAGTATGGTATTTCTCAGTGTAAAATTCTACACTTACGACAGATTTCTATTGAAAGATTTTTTGAGAAACGAGCCACGTATTTCTTCTTCCATTTGGTGTTTCTGCACCTTTTACTAGATACCAGTCAATCATACCAAGATTACCTTTCCACTACCTTTCACAAGAATTGCCATGATACAAAGACCATCAGCAAT